TGAAACTAGAGGGAGAGTATTCGGCCTCTGTCTCTTATACACATCTAGATGTGTATAAGAGACAGACCCAGGGCTTACTTGTGCTCAGTCAACACAAATTGAACGCATACAAGAACGGGTCTGTAGGTGCATTCTTTTTAAAGCATTTAATAATTATACGGAAGCTCTTCACATATTGGGACTGGAGAGACTGACTGATCGCCGAACCACACTATGTATTAATTTTGCCAAGAAGGCTGTTAATTCTGAGAGGTTCAGTCACTGGTTTAGGTTAAATAATAAATCCCATGGCATGTGCCTCCATAATACAAAACGATATAAGGATTATAATGTTAAAACCGTAAGGTTTCGTAACAGCCCTTTGCCTTACATGACGACTCTTTTAAATAACATCTAGTGTTCTTTCGGCGGTCAGCCAGCCTCTTTATTTTTCTTGTTGACGGAGTTCACTAAATGGTGATATTTAATTTATAATAGTTTTTTTCGTTAAATTTTATTGGCAGTTTTTTTTGTTGTTCCTGTGTACAGTAATGTTATTTTAACCCAGTAGCCTCCAATTCAATCTCTATTGCCAAAGGTTACTGTTGTCGAATGTTCTTTGTTAATGAATGAATAATTTTATAATGAATAATGTTGTTTATAAAATTGTAATTTTTAAATTATTTTGTAATGAGTAATTTTTATAATGAATAATTTTATATATAGATTTGTACACCTGAATGTAATTCTTTTTAAGTAATTTTGTAATGAATTTATTTTGTTGTATGTCTGATTGAATGAATAAATATATACCTGAAATAAATAATACATATACATATATAGATATACGTATATATATACATATACACACATATACCTATACACATATACATATATTCATATACATTTACATATACATATACTGTATACATATATATATATATATATATATATATATACACTATACATATACATATATACACACACACACACATATATATATATATATATATATATTAAAATTTAGTATTTTTTTGAAACAGAATAAAATAGGTAAAATTTTACATTTACGACGTATTGTATATATACTATACATATACATATATATACATATGTATATATATATATATATATTATAATTTAATATTTTTTGAAACAGAATAAAATAGGTAAAATTTTATTGAAAAAAAACAAACAAATTTTACATTAACGACGTATTGTTGATTTAATATGCTGAATCATTATTAATGGTATATAGGCCTACCTATTATATTTCTATGAATTAATCAACAATTATCTCATTAATCACAGTATGGTAAATAGGCCTATTAAAGCATAATTGAAGTATTATTAATTATTCACTAAAGCATTATTCGAGCACCTTTATTATTATTACTATTAGTATTATTATTATTATTATTATTATTATTATTCATTTTTTTAATATATATTATTTATCAACCATATTAACATTGAAAACATGAATATGCATATGTGGATAAAATTATCGCAGGAAATAAACTTATAATTTATAAGATTATTTTTTAAAACAGAATCAAATAAATAATGTTTTTATTTAAAAGCAGGTTTTGCATGGACGTAATTTTACTTAATATGCTGATTATTGCTATTTCATTAATCAAACTATCGTAAAATTATTATTATTATTATTATTATTATTATTATTAAACCAAAGAAATTTACATTTACGACGTATTGTTGATTTAATATGCTGAATAGGCCTACCTATTATATTTCTATAACAACAATTTCAACAATTATCTCATTAATCACACTATCGTAAATAGGCCTATTGAAGCATTATTGAAGTATTATTAATTATTCACTAAAGCATTATTCAAGCACCTTTATTACTATTATTATTATTATTTATTTTTTTATATATTATTTATCGACCAGATTAACATTGAAAATATGAATATGCATATGTGCATAAAATTATCGCAGAAAATAAACTTATAATTTATAAGATTATTTTTTAAAACAGAATCAAATAGATAACGTTTTTATTTAAAAGCAGGTTTTGCATGGACGTAATTTTATTTAATATGCTGATTACTACTATTTCATTAATCAAACTATCGTAAAATTATTATTATTATTATTATTATTATTATTATTGTTTGTTTATTTTTTGTTTTATGTATATGCCTACGCCTAAATAATATATATTGTATACATTTAATAATTTAATTATTTAAACTAATTGTTAAACAAATATAATATAATGTTAACAATAATATAGGCTAAGCTAGACCTAATCAATTATTGATATAATAAAGGCAAATATTTAGAACATCACTTAATACAACACCTTCATGACAGAGCCCTCCAAATCTTGTTTTAATAAATAACTGAATTCACTTCAATGATATATTTTGATCTTCGTTCATTATTATTATTATTATCATTTACTTTTTATTATTATTTAATTATTATTATTATTATTATTATTATTATTATGTCTTTGCCATTAACATTATCATTGTTTCTCTGGAAGGCGTCTTGTACAGGGACATGTTCCTTTTTGCCTAACCAGTCTCATTACGTTTTGAGTGAAATACAATTATGAATTATACCAATGCCATCTATCGATAAAAACATCGATTCGATTAATTAACAGCAGCTTTTCGCACTGTGGCAGTGCCGATAGAAAACAGCAACTTTTTGGCACTGCGGCAGTGCCGATAGAAAACGGGAGCTTTTTGGCACTGTGGCAGTGCCAAATCGGCACTGCGGCAGTGCCGATAGCCACTACCATTAAGAAAGATCAAAGAGTATAAAACTGCAAGAGGTCCGACTGCCCTTATTTTGTATACAAGCAATGGAACATTAAAAAGTACTCCCAAGAACGTAAAAGGCGTTCGTATTGAACGCGTGCTGCGTTTTGAATTCCAGCATACATTCTATAGACGCGCAGCATGCATTCGATATGAACGCACTTCACATTCTTTTAAAGGTCATGCCCCTTTTGGGTAGTACTTTTTAGAATAGGATTGTGTTCCAAAGAATCCCCGGCAGTTGGACCTCTTTCAGTTTTATACTCTTTGGAAAAATAGATGAGAGGGGTCCAAAAGTTAATTCTTTTGACCATGATGACGTCGTCAAAATGAAAAATGAAAGGACACTTCCGAAAGAGAATTGTCTCAGCTATAACATACTCACAGGTGGGAGACGATCAAACAAGAATAAGCGAGATAAATTCAAAAGATTATAAAAATAACGTCATAAATAAAAA